GTTCAATATCTACTTTTTTCCTTCATCATTTTCTTCCATTTGTTTACCTGATTTAATTGGGGTCTCACAAGATTTAGAATCAATCATTTTTGTTTCTTTCAGTAGTATTCATCACAACTTATAGTTGAGGGAGGAATATGAATTATTTTGATTGAGCAATTTCTATTCCTAAGATGAATTTGAATTCGCCAAACTCTTTAATCTCAATCTTTTTAGCCAAGGCTTTTTTATAAGAGATTCATTTTATTTATTGTCATCACTTGTGACAATTATATCATCAATATATATATATATATATAATAAGTATTTTTATAGCGCATAATGTATAATACACAACTTGGCTTTCTACAACTTGTTTTAATTTAGTATTTATGCATTATCTTAAATCATTGAGCTAAATTTCATAAGTTGAATTTGATTTGAATTTAAAATATAGTGAGCTCAATTTGATTTCAAATTGAATTAGGCTTCTCTTTTATAGTTTTGGATTGATTACAAAATGATTTAAATTTAATTTGAGTTAGATTCAAAATTATAAATATATATAGCTCTCATACATGATATTCTTTTTAGTAATATTATTGCATAATTATATTACAAGTGTTAGAAAATTTAACGTCAATTCTAAACAAATTTAAGTGTTAGAAAATTAAATTTAATGACAATATATATTTAAAATTTAGAATTAATTGCTATCCATCATAGCAATTACTATAGGAAAATTGCTCATTACCGACGAATTTTCCAGCGGGTTTCTGACGGAATATTTCTGGTGGATTTTTGAAGGATTACGATGAAATATTTCCTGCAGACTATGTCCGACAAATTTTTTATGTAGTGAATCATAAAAAGATGTTAAATAAATAATCTTAATATATATAAATGGAACGTAATTCCCTCTAGGATGAGGCTATTAATTATCTATATAAAATGTTTCATAAGTGTTTTTTTTTTTTGTTAAAATCCACTGAGGAGTTTACGTGTTAATTTAAAAAATGGATACATGTCCTTAAGAGGGTCTAGAGCCACTAATGCTTAAAGAGATACATCTAAAACAAAAATAAAGCTAAGAGCTTAAGATTCCTACTAAATTACAAAATGAAACAAAAAGAAAAAACTACTAGACAATAAGGAGTCACTAACCAAAAAGGAGCCAGAGCCTAAAACAGCTCAAAAGCACAACATCTTTAGCAGAAGCAAACCACCGAACTAGCCTAGCCAACCAAAATCCAAAGACCCAATCATGATCCAGACCTGCAAGAAAAATAAACACCATAATAAAATCAAATAATCACACCATCAAAAAATAAATAAATAAATAAACACAACAAATCAGGAGAAGACCAATCAGATGATCAAAACCCACAACAACCAGCTAGGGAACCTCCAACCAAATATCCGTGCCCACCATAGCAGGGCAACACAAGAAATAGATAGAAACCAAACCCACTAACAACCTGCCCAAAAGACCCCAAACACCAACAAGCAGGAGCCATGAAACACAAGTTCTCAGTAGTGAATGAAGTTTCAATTTTAACCCACTAACAGCTCAACTAAGACCAACAACACTAGAAGTACCAAAGAGCCCCCCACAAGGCCAAGTAAGAGGTCTTGAGACAATAAAGATAATTCTACTTTTATAAGATGTCAATAAAGATAATTCATAGTAATAAATAATTTTTAGAAGAAAAACTTTTAAATGAAATTGTGGGAATACATGTAACCTACTTGGGTCTATTTGTTGAAAACATTGAGAACCAAGTAAGAGGTTTTGAATTCGAATCTCACAACTGTAATATGTGTGAATATATTCCTTGATCGAAATCTCATTGATGTCGACTAACTCTTGACTTGAGAGAAGTACAATCTCATTGGCTTACACACAAGCCTTTTTTTAGGGCTAAGAGATGTTATTGAAAAAAATCACTCAAAGATCCCCTAAATCATTCTTATAATACAATCATACATATTCAACAAATTGCTTAGAAGCTTGTGATCATTAGTCTGCTTATTGTATAAGAACCTTTCTCTATCTTTAATATGTTCAATGATTTAATTTTTCTTGGAACCTTCAGCGCAAACTAATACGCACCACATACATAAACTTCAAATCCAAAATTTATGATAGAAAGCCTAATCCGATCAGTAGGTCAAGATAGACTTATGATTAGAGGATATAAGTTCGACCCGATTCTATATATAATTTTAAAAATTATTCATAATTAATGTTTAATATTTCATTATAATCACTCAACTTCTAATTCGATACTTGAATTTTAACGAATTAAGTAATGTGTAGATGACTAAAGTTTCCATGAAATTCATCGTTGAAAAGTACCAAAAAGAGAAGTAAAAGCAAAAATAATTATATATCCTAATTTAACAATAAATAATTAAAAGATAAAGACTTTCAAATGTACTGAAATATGACCTAAAACTACAAATCCTCTACAAAGTCTTTTTAAGTCTACAATTCAAGAACTGAGTAAGTCTGAGGGTTTCTTCATTCTCATGCCAATTTATTCCATGGAAATTTCAATCTATAAATGACAAAAAAAAAAAAAAAAGGATAGCAATTGGAGCACATCAAGTTCATTAGTGGTGCAAGAAAGTCAATAGGCAAGCCAATAAGATGTTAGTCTAGAGATAGTCATTGTAGCACATTAATTAGTTGCAGTCCAAAAAATAAAACAGTAAGAAAGCGATCCCAAATGATATCTGGGAAAATTTTATTGTTGTTTTCTAAAACAGTGCAAAAATTTCTGTACTAAAAAGCCGTTCCCCAAACAAAGCCTAAATCTCAAACTCAACATATTGTATGGAGCCAATCATATTTTGATCGAGTCCATGACATTTCACATCTCGAACTTATAATTTTGTCATTCTAACCAATCAGATGTCTTCACCTCCTATTATACCCCAAGCTTCAAGAAAAAGAATACAATTCTACACGTTAACTTTTAGATAGCCGACCCCACGTAGTGAGACAAAAGTTTGATATTGTTGTTGTACGCTATCCAGGAGAAAAAGGTAAGGGAATATCTTGCACTAATCAAACTCATGATTCTTAGCAGTCCAAAACCCTTTGATTACACTGCCGTGTTTGCCAAACCTGGTATCCCATTTTGAATGAACCTGCCATGTTGTAAATATAGGTTCCTGGAGCTTCAGACAGCCAGATATATAACAATAATTCTTACAACAATTAACTTTTTTAACTTTCTTTTCAAAGGAAAAGAAGCAGATAAAACACAACAATCAGTAAGGCTTGGTTTAGGATAGTTTTTTATTGCTTCTTAAAGGAGCTTCTTAGTACAAAAATTTTAATTTTTATACTAGGAATCTGCTTTAAGAAGCAGAAAAAAAACCGTCCCAAACGAAACTTAAGTCAAGAATAGCACTAAAAAAAAAGAGTCAAGAATAGCGCTATGCCACGGATTGAAGTAAGAGAAATAGTATTCAAGCATGGAAGATTCAAAGTAAATTGGGTCCTGCAGTCATGGGAAAAATAGCTTGAAAAGAAATGAAAAATGACAGAGACTTCACCAACAAAATATTTGGACGTATCGTTTGGGTTATCTAGGCTTTGTTTAGTCGAACATAACCTGCAATGTTACAGAAATTGATCACTGTCTGTATCATCCAAAGGAGATTCTGTATTCCGTTTTTTCTGAAAGCAAAATCGAACAAGATTGTTTAAATTGTTTAAACATGTTGCTCAAAATTACAACGTCCAGAACAGAAATAGACGAGCACTCGTTCTTCACCATACATAGCTCGAACCTAAAACCTAAACGTGAGTCAGTAGTCTTTGATGGGAGAAATTGTTAGGAAAAGTTTGCCGACAGAAAGAACCGTCCGATTTTCTCTCTATGTACAGTAAAAGTGCAGTCAAAGCGCTGCTGCTATAGTAATTGTGTTTGTACTGTAGACAAAAAGAAAACCGGACGGTTCTCTCTGTTCGGTGTCCGCAGCTAATAATTTGTCCCTTGATGGAGAGAATGGACCCAAAAAAAAGGCAAAAGAAAAAGAGATGCACTTAATAATTCATTAAACGACAAAGATTAATGGCTATACAACCTGATAAAATCCATTACATAAAAATAGATGCAGGTTATTAAGAATAAGCAAATTCAACTAAAAAAATAATTTATGAAAATTTGTTCAATCTATTCAATGTTCATAGAATGGAAACATGTATAGATTTGATTTGATCTTTCTAGATGTGAAGCAGTTATCTTTATTGCTTCACCATAGTCAAAATATTACTGCTGATGTATTGTTACAGAACTCACCCCTTCAAAATTGGGCGACTATCTGTTGTCTGAACCTGCAAAAGCCCTTGGAACTTTGAGATCAGGCTTTCGCCCTTTTATCATCGTAAGAAAAAAATGTGGAATCTGCTAACATATAAGCCTCCTCAACCAGAACAGCAGCTTCACGCAAGTAAGTAGATCACAAGATGGGATCAGTAAACCTTATTATCAAGAGCAAAAATTATCCGGTGGCGCCGTGGCACCTCTCCAGGTTGAAGCAGCCATTGCTGCCTTGCACATCTTTGGCCATCAAATGATGATAACCAACCAACTAACTCAGGTCAGGCCGGCGGTCTTTGAATTGAAGGGTAACGTCCTACATGTGTTCTACTTGGTTTTTCCTGACTAAATCGCCGCATTTCGGGTGGACCCCAACCAAGAATTCCAGCTGAGTTGTTTGGCTCAAGCAAACGAGCTCCATTATTCATTGCTGGGTGATGGTGAAATTGCTGGTTTTGAACTTGGTTATCAATGTCTGCTCTTCTCCGACGTTTCCAAGCCTCTGATTTTGGTGTGCCATGATTTTTGTGAAATGTTTCAGAATGTTGGGACCGAAACTGATGAGGTTTATTGCTCCTACCACGGAAATCAGTGTTGAAAGAGGTGGGCTGACTAGTACCGACACTCCTGTCAGAGGTTCCCGCCGCTGAACTATTTAAGTAGGAGTGTCCAAACCCACCTTCACCTTGCTCATTTTTAAGTTTTGAATAGATCTCATGTAATCTTTCTCCCGATAAATTTGAGAATGTAGACACATAATTCCACAACCTTATATACATTTCTGGAGATAATGAAAACATATTCCAATAAATAAGATGTGTTTCAGGCATACAATAATGAAAGCATCTTGCATGATTGAATATGACCTTATCAAATAGACTATAGTTAATGAATAATATTTCAATTATGCAACAGATGCAAAAGAAGATTTTTATTTGCAATGTGAATTTAAATCTGATTGTGATGAATCTTAATATGTATTTATGATAGAAAACAGTTTATGAACTTGAACCTATAATTAAATTAAAAAAAAAAGGATTTGAGCATAAAAGCACATATGAATAAAAAAACTGGGTTTAAAATAAGCCTAGATCTAAATTTCAATATGTACTATATCTGAACAAAAGACAAAATTCAAGCCTATAACCTATATAGCTGACCTTGAATCTCTGATAAACTGATGCTAGTCCTAAAATTGAACATACAGTTGAACGAGAACTAGAATTCTATCCTGAAACTGAATTGTAGTGAGATTAATTATGAATCTAAATTTTAAATAGGCATTAAATTTGAACCTAAAATTAAACCTAAACACAAATAGAATCAAAATATAATTTTGATTGTGAAAAGTTAAACTTCTAATGGATAGTAAATAAACCCTTGTATATGAATATTAATTTCAAACCAAAGCTAAATTGAGCCCTGAACATAAAGAGAACGAAACATATATATCATAGTTAATGAAGTCAATAAGTAAGCTGGCTTAATCCGTCTTTTTTCTGAAGTTACTTCCATCGATCAAATTGAAAATAAATTTATTTATTATTCTAAATACCTTGATTTTCAAACTCATAGATACATATGGAGAAAGTCAAATCCTACCAATAGTTCAAACAATTTGTTAGTAATGAATCTCTTGAAGAAAATCTAAAATTAAAATTTTCATCCATCTAGGCACATGTAAAAGTGCATAAATCATCACGTTTAATATTAGAGTAACTTGGGCTAATTTTCGTTAAAAATGTTGTTCATCCATATTTTCTTTGATTCTTAATAAAACATAATGGAGAAAAAATATTTATATAGCCGACCCCACGTAGTGGAATAAAGACTTGATATTATTGTTATTGTTGTCGTCATCCATATTTACATAATATGTTTATGTAGTTTGCATTTTTCAGTTTTCTTTATAATCATCATTATTAGTATCTATTAGAATATGCATATTGACATTTTAATATTTTCATTACTTGCTTCATATTATTTGCATGAATTGCATGATTTTTCTGATTTGTATGAAGAGATTCATAGAAAACTAATTGCCAATTATGGCATCTGTAAGTCTACATCACTGAATTAAATAGAAGATGTAGAATCAAACCAAAAGATAATGATAAATTTGACTTCTAAGAACAACCATAAGAGGACTTCTAACAAATTAACAGCAAGAAAATGGGGACACATTGGAATACGCATATAAAGTACAAATTGTAGAAAGCTTTGGTTTTACTCATTGATTTCATGAACCAGCTACCAAATTTAGGATTCTTCACTCTTTCCCTCTTCTCCTTTTGCATTAATATCCAGCATAATATCATACATATCTACTCGTCTTATTCCAAAAGCTAACAAATATCCAAGGATTGCCCATTGGAAATGGTGGACATCACAAGTTTTGTGCTTAGGATGACATTTATTTATGATGATTCATAAATTACTTTCCAAGAAACACAAAAATTTAACCAGATTTGCATAACATGTATAAATATTTAATTAATCAATACTAAAAAATTTCAAAGCAAGGCAGAATAGTGTGAATTTGAATTTTTGTCACTGGAAATGCAAATTGGTGCATAGATGTTGTTTTATATCTTATTTTTTCATTCTCTAGTTCATTTACGAATAATACACAACTACATTCACTCCAATAAGAATTGGATGTGTTACCTAGAGTTCTGACTACCTAACTGGGTTTGGTTCGGCAAGTTATTTCAGTAAATGACTTGAATCCCTAATTTAGTGGTTTACAATTCCATGTTTCTCAGCGCATGGTTATACCCTCTTCAGTCCCCTGTCAAACCATTCTTTGAAATTCACGGTGATTGCTATTATATGCTCATTTCTCAGATTGATTCTTTAAATTTCAATTAATATTCAAATACTAACATGGAAAAAAAAAATTGTAAGTGAAACTTACAAGAAGGCAATAAAAAGGGATACTTACTAGATTGTTTATATGATAATTCATGCTGTTGAACAATCTTGTCAATCTTTCTACCCAAAAGTTGTAAATATTTTCTAATTCTAGCCAGAACCTGAAATAATCATAAAAACCCAAATTACAAGATTCCATTTGACCAAGACAAAGCATAATGAAAGAAGACAAAGCTAGGAGCAACCTTCTCTTTTGGAAGATTTAAACTGGTTGTCTGCAACCTTTCCAGGCGCCTTAATGTTTGCACTTCCTCTTCCATGACATCTGCACACCATTCCATCCATTTTTCTTCTTTGAACTGCTGGTACCGCTCTTGTTCGGACTCTGACAATTCACCTTCTTCCTTAACCGTAGGTTCAACTTTCCGGCGCTTATTATGTGACACTTTCTTAGCTCTGGAATGCAATCCAGGTGAACTTTCTTTCCAGCTCACGTCCTTCGACTGTTTTGTTTTCATTGCATTTTCTTCCTTTTTGGAAGCTTTCTGAGACCCTTTAGCTTTTGAAATCTTACCATTAACATTTGCAAACTCCTGGAGAAATAAAAAATTCCATTTAAAGACAATTAATTAAAAAGAAAAAAAAAATGACTTGATCTTCTAAAATCAAGCATCAACAAATGGACTTGATCTTCTAACACAGTCAACTAAAAATGAACGCATGCATTTTCAAAATCCTAAATAGCCTTTCAGCTAACTTCTTGGATACTGCACCAGTTTCGTATGTGCTCATATACACACCTCAGTCTCTACCTAGAATAAACACAATAAATAGACCCAAATGTTATAGCCAAAAAAAAAAAAAGGGATCAATCATGTAGCCTAGATGAAGCATAGATGGACCGTGGTGATGCAGCATATACTAACTTTGCATACAATAGAGATCAAGCCCAAGAGCCAAAAAAATTACCAAAACACAATAGTTTACAACTTTACATGATTCCTAAGAGAACCGGTACAAGTAGCGCAGCCTAGCAAAGATCAGTCAGAAAATAGGAAATTTAAAATTTCAAGTGAATCACTTTAAGGAACACAAAACAAAATTAAGTAGCACAGGAACTGGTTTCAACAAGCTTAAAAAATGTCATAATCTTTCACATAAATCATTATTTACTGGTGTCGTGTTCCTCAAAACCACTTTCACCTGGGATGATATTTCTGTCGTAAATATGGCTCCCGATTAACAAAGCACACTCACATGTTAAAATGGTACTATGATGAAGAATTTAATACCACTTCTGAATATTTTATATGAAAAATAAAAAAATGCACATCTTCAAATGATGGTAATATGCAGCTATATATTTCCAGAACATTTGAGAATGTAAGGATTCTGACTTATCAAGACAATGTTTCTTCTTCTGGCACATGCATCATTCATTGAATGATAAGTCATAGCTAATGGAATCTAAACTATTGTCAAAAGGTATCTGAAATTTTGCTATGAAAAAAGAACAGGTTAAACAGACCATTTATGAAACAAGAAACTAAACTTTACACGTGGTTGCCGGGTATGCAATATAAATCATACACGCATCTATTTTTAAAAGGTTTTTAGAGAAGAGCTATGAAAGAATAACAAGTTAAACAGAATTTTCATGTAACAAGAAAATAAACTTCGCATATGGTTGCCAGGGCATAAATACAAAACATGCAGTTATCTGATATAGTGTACAGGACACAATTAATGTGTATTTGCTTAAAAATAAATAAATTACAGACCTCCTAAAACCCTAAACTGTGCATCCAAAACTGTCCTAACAATCCTCCTCCAATTGCACTGACATGACGCCCATAAAAGAAAAACGCACAAGTTCCCTTGCATGCAGGTCTCATCCGATGAGCCTTCTCTCTTGCACTAGCGTTAGCCATCACGACCTCCCTTTCGCTTTCTAACTCCCTGATATTGAGTGCCAGCACCTCTATTACCCCAAGCAAACACTTTCATTTTAAACTTGCTCCATAATGTTTCTTTCTTATAATAATAATATTTCAAGATAAATATATATTACAAAACTAACCTCATGTTAATGTGATCATGTTTTGATATATTACATTAATGAGATTATTTTAAAATGGTAAAAAATTGTACATTACTAAGCATGAAATTTTGTTATATTTTATACTTTTATGTCATAACATCATAACATATTTTAATCTTTTTAAATATTTAAACAATATTCATGCTTTCATTTTCTAAAACATTGTCTACAAAACGAGGTTGTAAGACCCACCGTTCAAGCTGCCTACAGAATGAGGTTGTAAGACTCACCATTCAAGCTGCCTTGCCTACAAGACATGATTGCAAGAACTCTTATTTGGGTCCCCTTACCTATTAAACAAATATTGTACGACCCAATGTTTAGCCAATTCCAATATCAGTCATAACTCTCACATGCAAGCATGCCAAGAGTTAGGATTGTAAGCCCCAGCCTACTGGGCAACTTGCAAATAGAGCACTAAGTCCCACATTTCAAATCAAGTTAATTTTAAACATCAAACGCAAGTAAAAAACCTAAATAGTTTATGATGGGCTTCCAACTGACTTTTCATCAACCTTAGAAGAGCATCTTTGACACAAATGCATATATCCACTCTATTCTATGCAAGATATCATAAGGGAGGCAGCCCATTGTTGTTAATTAGTCTCATTGGAAATGGTTTATATACTTCTACTATTAGTAGACTAGATCCACTGGTATACATTAAATGACAAAAGCATGGCATTTGATCAAAATTACCTCCATTACATCAATCCCCATCAACATATGAATTAAATTTAAGCTCAAAATTTATCCCAAAACAACCTCCTTAATCGAGAGTGCTATCACAAGAGTAGGAGAGGTAATTAATTATAGATTTACACCCATATTTAAATAAATCTTGGTCAAGATATGTTAGACATCAATATATTCTATTGTATCCAATTGTGAAGATGGGCTACAAACATGGTAGACCAATCTACAAGCATAAAAGAAGAAGAATGAACCAAAACATTCCACATATCTTGGACAAATAAAATAGTTTAACTCAATTGGCCTATGCATATGTAATAAGCACAAGTTTATTTCTTTGATTCTATTTTTAATTTGTTTTAGGTAGACCGATTTTTATGTTGAACACTTGGTCTACCCAAGTAATATAAATACCTCTCCTATTGTAATGAAAGACTCATAGAATAAATATTTTCTAGTTTCTCCCTTCTAGTCTCTCTTATTCCCCTTCTTTTAAGCAATTCACACCTACTCAAAATATGTCTTCCCCTTCTTGATATAGATCAAGAAGCATAACTAGATATTAGAAAAAAAAAATCTAGTTCAAAATAAATCAAATCTACATCAAGGATAAACTACTATTGAGTTTTCTCAATTACACCGACGATAATAAGTTGATTTTTTCAGAGTGATTAATACTACATAAATTTAATGCAACCTAGTCACATGGGTATTTAAACAATCACGCAATAAAGTGTTCAATTAGGCATAGTATGAACTAGGAGATAAAAAACATTTAGTAATAAGAAATAAGTGCTCGTTTATTTTAAACTTTAAAATCAGCCTAGTTTTAATTTTTATGAAACCTTATAGAGTTATCCGTAATAGGTAGAAAATTTGTTACTATATAAGATAAACGAGAATCGCTATCCTCAAATCACATAATAAATCAATTAGAAACTAATGAAGCATTATGGACTAGTATTAACAAGAATGGCTATTCAAGGTGGAGTTCAACGAGCGATAGATTAATAAAAAATTATAAGTAGAATGTAACATTCAAATGTTATCAGTTGAGGTATAACTTAAGGTGAAGAAAGTTTAAGAATGAATATTTTATATGAATTGAAGTTGGCCAGGCATAAAATACATATTAAACCATAACCCACTATTGGCATCTCATGGTAACCAAGCAAACGCATGCTGACAAAATTAACTTGAAAGACTGAATTCTAATATATAATGGAGACTGATTACTTAAGCGATCCTCCATAAGTAAATTATATAGATTTATGGTTGTGTACAGAAACATTTTATACCTTTTGCAGAAGAGCACTTGCACGGTTATCCAAGTTAGGAGCACGAGGCAAAAATGTCTCTCTTTCCCCAAGATTTGCTGGAGCAATTTTCCTCGCAAGGCCAAGCTTTGGATCTAATCTGATTTTTTCCCAGTTTCCAAATCCATGATAGTGCACCCCAAGAAGTAATCGTGCATCATCAACTAAAGTTCAAACCACAAAATTATTGTTGAGAAAGGAAGAATCACGAAGCCCAAGTACAAAATAAACAATAATTGACAATTACCTGAATTCCATCCACAGCTTTTGGACCACTGTGGGCTTTTATGTTGTGTAACCAGGCGAAACTGAGCAACTGGATCTTTGTATGGTTTAATGCGCTTTGCTAAAAGCTGAAGCTCTTCCACACGATTTAGCACTTCATAAGCCTTGATAGCTACACCAAAAAAATCTAATATGGTTCCCTGTAAAAATAAGCACTACATTGTATAAAGACGCAAATGATAAACCAGGCTGAACATCATAACCAGTAGAAAAGAAAAAAAGGTTCACTTAAAATGTAATTCAACAAACCTTGACATCCAAGTTTCCTTCTTTGACTGCTTCTCTGCAGCCATCTATCAACAAATCAAAAAGCTCTATCTGGGCTTCAATGGAAGCTGACTCAACTATACCACCAACATCAGCCACTATTAAGCCAATCTGGCTCTGAATTCCAAATTTCTTAACCTAACAAAAGAATATAAAATAACAAGATATAAACAAGGAAATCTTTGAGGCCAGATAAACGTTAATTAACCCTTAAGCACATCATCTAGTAAACTTCCATGAAATTTCACTTCTTAACATAAAAAAAGGTTGAATTGGCTCTGCTACTTGATAGATACTAAAACCACCATATAAAGATTATTGCCAACAGAATTTCCAAAAAACATGTAGCAGAGGTTTAAGCATTCATCAACTTACTTCCTGTTCAAAAAAACAGAGAACCTAGCCGATCGTAACAAATAGATCCTAAATTGTTACACCTGCTTAAATAATTACATTATAAACACAAAAAAAAAAAAAACATTACCGAACGAGCAAAATGGGAAGCATCTTTCTTGGTTAAGTTCCCATAGGACCATCCTCTTACTTGAGCAACTGCACCCTCAATCATTGGCAACGAATAGGTTGGAGCATCTGTAGCTTTGGCAGAACGCTTCTGATTTCTATCTCGAGACAGAGGGACTCTCTTCTTCTGCTTGGTATTAATCTCAGGTTGAATAGGTTCAGCATAGCTTTTAGTATTTCTTGCTGCACGAGGTGCCAATGATTCCTATAAAATGAGCAATATGCACTATTTTTAGGCCATCGCATCATTTCCTGATAAAATATAGCAACAGATGATTATAAATTAAATTGCTTCCCTTCTAGAAAGTAGTTCATCCTTTATAATACTTGCAAGAAGTATAAAATGCCGTGAAAATCCAGAAATTATATTAAATACATGTCATGAAGTAGTGAAGCAAAATCCATTACATTAGCTTGGTCAACAGCTTCCGGTTGTATCAAACGACTCCAAAATGTGCTGTCATCCTCAGCACTGCAAAAGTTTGCAACCTAGGGTACAGTAGGCCAGAAAGATACAAAATGGTTAAAGAGGGGAAAAATATCTTAAAGCATGTATTCACAAATAAATAGAAAGTTGACCTTAAAGGCACTTAGCAACTCATTTCCTGTCTCCCCATCATCTCCCTTAGATTCAACTTTCTCAGCTCTTTCAAGAATTTCATCAATGTCCAAACTTAAAAGCCTCTTCTTGCTCTCTTCATCATTCTTCTCTTCCTTGAATAGCTCTTCCGCTCCAAATTTTAGTATTGCAGAGAGCTCATTCTGCAAGGAGAAGAAGATGGTTCAATAAGCAATCGTTATGAATATGTGGCTAACAATAAAGCTCTAACCCACCATTAAGCAGAAGGTTAACAGCATTACTCAGACCAATCAAATTTACCTTGTCAAATAAAGAACTTCCTTTCTTAGTCTCTTTCTTTTCCAGCCTACCCTCAGCATTTAACTTTTGAATAACCAAATGATCAAGGACCTGAAATGCAAACCGATATAATAGACATGTTGAGAACAAAAAGCATCAAACAACTCTCACATAGTGAAAAGAGGAAAACAAGATGACAAGATTCAACTACATACCATTTTTTTCTTAGCGCGCTCCAAAATTTCCTCCTCAACACTTCTACTTGTAACAAAACGGTAAATGTTTACAACTTCTTGCTGTCCAATTCTATGGGCTCTGCTCATTGCCTGATAAAATCATTCTAAAAGTTTTCACGAAGGAGATAAACGAGAATGTTCAATGAACAGAACCCATAAAACAAGTTACTTGGACAAAGAGCAGCTATAAGTTTCTACATGAAATCAATGGAAAACCTTATCATTGAGAAAGCTAGTAGCAAACAGATTCCTCCTATTTCAAACCTGCAAGTCATTCTGGGGATTCCAGTCTGAGTCGAAAATAATAACAGTATCTGCAGTAGCAAGATTTATTCCCAGCCCACCTGCACGCGTAGACAGCAGGAAACAAAAATCCTCACTTCCAGGTGCATTAAAATGCTCCATTGCCTGATGTCTGAGATCAGCCCTAGTGCTACCATCAAGCCTTTGGAACTGAAAACCTCGAAGTGCTAAATACTCGGCAAGTATGTCCAACATCCTAACCATCTGCAGATCTCATGGGTAAGATAACAAAATGAATCTTCATTTTGAATTCCCTAGCAAAATTTTCATGAAGAAAGCATATTCTCACCAGCCATACTAAAACAGAATGAAAAAGAGGACATGAGAACAATGTCTTTGAGGGCAGATATGATAACTCTATGCAGTAACATAAATAAATATGCAAATTTCCTCTAATAAATAGCTTAATTTCTCATTGCAAAATACCAGACTGAAATAATTAACACATAGGTGCTTACTTCAATTAGCATCTGTAGCAATAAACGATTTCTTTGCAATGAATGTTCTTGCATTTTACAATAATAAAAAAAATAAGCTACGGTGTGAGCCATATAAGTAGATTCAATTAGGGTAATTCCCAATTATGCAAACGCATCTTGATCAGGTAAATCAGTACAAGTGCAAGAAATTGCAAACCTAAGCCTATTTACAAATGTACAATGTTCATTTCGAATACTTGGAAGTTGGAAACAACAACTTGATCAGAAGAATAGGAACATACAAAAGATTCTATCAATGGCTGCCAAAAAAGGAAAATAGAATAGTAAACTTTATTTTTTAGTTCAATGATAACTTAACATCCACAAGCAGAAAATGCAACATGTAAGTAAAAAAAATCTCCATTGAAGTGCAATTCTCTAGTGGCTTCCACTTCTAAAATGAAAAGTATGAACCAAAAAAATGGTCGTTCAATGTCCTGTACAGTAAAAGAACATGTTTCACTTGAGGCGCTCAGATTATATGATGAAGAAAAAATGTGCTAGCATTGGATGATCAATCAGAAAGACAACTAGTCTCCACCTAAATTTCTAGCATCCAAAGAGGAAAAGGATACCTGAGAGAAAATAAGAACGCGGTGATTTGTTTCTCGAAGACGAAGCAACAATTTATCAAGTATAACTAGCTTCCCACTGCTCAAAACAATGCGCTCAACTTTATTGCTATCACTACCATTGTCCCCACCATAACCATGATCTGCGCTCTCAAACAAGAAAGGATGATTGCAACATTTTTTCAATTCCACGACAATGTTTAAGAGTGACACCTGCAGGTAATGAAGTTTAGGATCAGTATCTAACATCAACAAACGGTCAAAACATGCATATAAATAGAGCAACATAAATATTCTTTTTACCGTAAGTGAAAATTGAGGAAACCTAGCATGTTAAGAGATCAATCATGAACTTGTCTAATGCAGATAACAAGTATTAAGGGAAAGGGAAAACAATAAAGATGATGCATCATATTTATATTGCTATTTTTTCAATTAATTAGATTCAGATTATGTTGAATGGGAAATAGCCTGTCAACAAGCCTGATGATTTGGTATCAAAATCATACAAACACAACAACACAAATTACTCTAACCAATTATCAATAATGAGTAGCAAATGGGTGCTAGACAAACCACAAAATACATAATGCTTGTATCCAAGTTATTAAGAATATGTATACAAAAGCTATTACTTGTGTTCAAACAAAAGTTGGTTTGACCAAGTATTTTCCTATTTTAGTTGGATTACATCAAGCATCAGCTTTAAGCATGTATCTTTTTGCTTTAGTCATGGATTCTTACTAGACGTTTGTAAGAGGATGTACCCTGATGTATGCTTTTTGCAGATGGTATTCTTCTTGTTGATAAGACTAAAGAGGGTGTTGAAAGAAAACTAGAATTATGGAGGTCAACCTTAAAGTCTAAAGGTGTTCGTTTAAATAGTTCTAAAACTAAATATATGAAGTGTAAGTTTAGTAACAATAAACTTAGTAGTAGGAAGGTGACATTGGGTGATCAAATCATTTAAAAGAGTACACGTTTTAGATATACTGGGTCTATTGTGCAAAGTGATGTTGAAATAGGTGGAAAAATTATTGGGATAATTCGAGCTAGATGGTTGAAATGGAGGAATGCATTGGGGGCATGTTGTGTGATAGAAAAGCACGCCTCAAACTTAAGGGAAAATTTAATAAAATGGTGGTGAGACTTGCAATGCTTTATGGATCAGAATATTGGCCATTAAAAAAGAAGCATAAAATTAAATTTAGTGTTGCAAAAATGATGATGCTCAAGTGGATGAGTGATTTATATTTGGAGACAGAATGCTAAACGAGTATATATGTGAAAAGGTTGGAGTAGCTCTAGTGGCAGATAAGATTAGAGAAAGTCGCCTTAGATGGTTTAGTCACATACAACATTAGCCTTTCGATGACCAAGTGATGTAAGACAAACATGCGACAAGGAGTTGCTTAAAGAAATTTACACGCTTAATATTTCGAGAACAATATCAAATAAAACTTATGCCGATTTAAACGCTTAAGATAAAACAATAAGGCGATAAAACAAGCTTAGGCTAAATTACATGCGTAGGAGTTAAGATCGTAAAGTAGCCAATTTAATTTAACATTGCATACATAAATGATTTTCAACTATAAATCTCAATGCTAACAATAAGATTAGGCACAATGCAAGAATCCCTCACTCAACTCTCTAGTTCTCTAAGCTTTAGTGAGGGATTCTTGCATTATGCCTAATCTTATTGTTAGCATTGGGATTTATAGTTGAAAATCATTCATGTATGCAATGTTAGATTAAATTGGCTACTTTACGATCTTAACCCCTACGCATGTAATTTAGCCTAAGCTTGTTTTATCGCCTTATTGTTTTATCTTAAGCGTTTAAATCGGCATAAGTTTTATTTGATATTGTTCTCAAAATATTAAGCGTGCAAATTTCTTTAAGCAACACATCTTGTCGCATGTTTGTTTTACATCACCAAGTTAGGAGATTAGCCGTATTAGAACTAGCCTATGTTAAGAAAAGTAGAGGTAGACCTAAAAAGATTTGGTTAGAAAGCATTATAATCTTTTTTATTAGATTTAAATGAGAATTTGCCTCTTAATAGGACACAATGGAGAAAAATAAGTCATGTAGCCAACCCCACATAGTGGGATAAAGGCTTGTTGTTGTATTGTTTCTAATGATTCATCAAATAAACAGATAAGTTCACCAAAAAAATAGAAGAAAAAACATAAGGAATGGCTATAGATACAAACTAGAGATACCTTTTAAATTTTCAATATTGTTAAGTTTATTTGGGTAGAAATGCACTTACTTCACCTTCACTTTTTTTCCTTAGAAAATTTGTGTGATTGCAAGGGTTAGGTCAATAGCAATGTAAGAATCAAGTCATGCAATTATGTGCATGCACAAAAAGATAAGCAATAAGGTTTGTTATATTTCATCATCATTATCATTAACCATGTAGCCTTCATCACAACTAATTGAGGTTGGCTAGTGAATCATATTTCTTCATTCATTCTTAGTTAGTTCTATGTACAAGAGGTTTTAAACATATTTTGTTCTACTATACACAATTTCTAGTCTATTAATTTTGATCTGCCACTTTACCTTCATTATCCTTATTCATAATCTACCTACCAACACATTGGTGCATATTTCTATAATATCCATTTTTTGTGGAAATGTGCAAATTTGGCTTAATTAAATTAAACCTCAAAATACCAATTTTAACAAAAATCATCAAAAGCATGTCATTGTGTTCTACTAATCAAATGAAGCAAATTAATATATAGAAAAAAAGAATATGTCAATTTGCGAGGGAGTGGAAATTATGTAATTAATTTTGATTTTACTTATTTCCCTAAAGTTTTTAATTATTTCTACTGATCATTTATTAAAGTTATTGTCATTTATTAAAGTTATTGTCGAAGAGCAGGGTTATATTTCAAAAATCCAACTTTCAATGGCATGCATTGGGTTGATCTTAAGACAAATAGGTAAATGACATTAATTAAGTAATTTTTATTCCTTCCCGCTTTAACATAAGCCTCATTACTTGGATAGTTGATGTGAAACGAATAGGAATTGCATTCGAGATTATAAAGAAATTGATTTAAGCTTTGCAATATAAACTAATGTTTCACAAGATTAGATGCTTAGACTTAAGGCCATCAATAATGTAAAGGCAATCAATTGCAAGATAGAATAACAATCACTTGAGAATGATCTCAATCATAAAGATAAACTTAAATATTGTAAACAAGAGATCCCACACTTAACAATTAGAAAAGTCACTCACTCAAGCTTGTCTAGTAAGGGTTAGCGGGAAAGAATATTAGCAAACCAAGCGATGCCACCAAGTTGAAAAGACACCTAGAGTAGTAGCCCAACGAAAGTTCGCCAAAGAGGGAGAAGACGTGAGTGGGTACCAAATGTTCTGCCAACTTCCGGACGGTAGATGCTCTTCAATTGATGACGCCAACATGAATAAGGTGTGATTGATGTGATCTTCTATGGAGTTGTCCACTTATGGGTCGAGGTCGAAGAGGATGGATTGATGACTATTCACTAAACTTTGATTGTCGTAGAGGAATCCCCAATCACGATTCGGATCGGCCATGCACTAATCAAGGGGATTGTCGATGGAGGGAGGCCTTCTTCTTTCTTGGAGTGGAGCTCATGAGGCAAGAGGGTTTCCAAGAGGTGGGAAGGAAGAGGGGACGGCTAAGGGAAGAGGGGCTTGCTTTTGGTGGACTTAGGCTTTGGGTTTGGAGAGGGGAAATAATACAAAATTTGAAATTAGTTTCAGATTTTAGTAAAATAGGAAGATGGGTTTAAGAATTTGTAATTTGAAAATCAAATTCAAGTGGAGGGAGATTAATGAAGAGAGAGGAGGGAGATCCCATGGACGGGCCAGCAGCATGCATGGGGTTGGGAGGGATTTGAATTTTCAATTTGAAATTCAAATTAATTTCAATAAGGGTGGCTTGATTGGGTGGTAACCAATGAGGGTTTAATGGGGATTTAATGAGGGTCTAGGTGGCAAAATTGGAGAGAGAAAGGGCTAGAGAGGGGGACAGACCACATAAGGGGAAATTTGAGGGGTTTGCATTTAATAGGTGGGCCCGAAAAGGATTTAGTTGGGGATTGCCATTAAACCTGAAATTGATTTCAAATTTTAATAGATTTAGGTCTCTTAATATACGTTATTAATAGGGAAAATTTAGAATTCAAATTTGAATTTGAATCTACATGAAGCAACTTTCCAAATTAATGAGGACGCAATTAAAGAAATTATGAACGATTTTGAAATTTGAAATTCAAAATCCTTGGGTGGTGGGTTGATGGCCGACGGCTTATAGGGCTTGGGGAGGCCGGCGGTGAGGGTTTGGGTGGGGTTGGTGGTGGACGGGTGAGGGGAGGCCGGCGACAACAAGGGTGAGGTGTTGGGTGGGGTTCGGTTTTTGGGAGGAGGAAAGGGTATGGGTGGTTTGGAAGGCCGACGGGTAGGGGCTAGGAGGGGGAGATGAAAGTATAATGAAATTAGAAAAGAAAAGAATGGAGCCGTGAACCTTGGAATCCACCGAAGGATGACGGGTATTGCTCTCACCCACGTAGGATCTCTCCTCTCATGAACTCACTTAGAGATCAAGCAAAGAAAACAAAATTTCATTCAATATTCATCATCCCCTCTCATACAAGATGAGGACCTTATATATAGGCCTTCAAACAAATAGAAAAGAAAGACAAGTATGCCCTCGGGGCTACAACTCAAACACAAACAAATAACGGGTACAATCGTCACAACTAATAAAAGAAACACAAATACAAAATAAAAATAAAGTTGACCTTGTGGCGAACAAGTTCCTGCAGGCGAGCTAAAATGCAGCAATCAAGTTAACCTTGTGGGCAACCGGGGTTGTTTGAAATTCTTTGCAAATAATAGTCCAGAGTTGTACGGGAGCAATTGTGATGCTAACTCGACGGAGTCGAGTATTCTCCCACCTGGGGAGAATGATGCGGACATCGGCGACTGAGTGGCAAAATCGAGAGGGAAAATCCATGACAATTTGGATTTCAAATTTGAAATCTTTCCTAATTGGTGTTCCTCCCATCAATTCCCCAATTAAGGCATTAATGACCTCTTAATTTGAAATCAATTTTCAAATTAATTTCCCCCCATTTTCATTCAAATCCTGAAATTAATTTCTGGATTTGAATTAATCTCTCTCCCCTCTCTCCCTAGACCCGCCGGCCCCCTCTTTGGGCTCCCTCCTTTACTCCCCCATTCATGGCATTAATTTCTTTGATTTGAATTTTAAAATTCAAATCAATTCCCTCCAAATTTAATCAAAACTGAAATTAAAATTCAGATTTTGATTAAATTCCTAATTGCTCCCCTAATCCCTCCCTGAGCCATTAATCCCCCACAACCCCACCTCTTTAATTCCTTCTTAAAACTCCTCTTGCCGCTGGAAAGGAATTTGGAAACTAATTTTCAAATCCCGTAACTCTCACCTTTGGCTTTAATTTAGGAAATCTTTCCTAACATTAAAGCCTCTCTTTCCTGTAGATTCACGGATTCAAGGATTGGATTTTTCCCACCGTGCACATAAGCTCCCGTCCACAGACTAAAACATCCTCTCATAATTCTTTCTTCCCAGCACATAAAGTTAGAATGCCTTACTGAATTCTGAGATCAAATCTGAAAATTTCAGATTTCCTGAAGTGTATTTTTTCAGATTTTTGGAGAGGAGATCATCTCCTTAGCAAAGCCTATTCTCGTTCTACATCACTTCTGATCAAGGCCGTCGCTCTGCGCTGCTTCCGATGATAGACATTCCGGAATCTCCTATTGATGTCCTCATCAATAGCTCTCAGTGTTGGTTGTTCTAGTCGTTAGAGTTCACATGCTCGAGCTTCTGCCTACAAAGAAATTCAGGTAAGGAAGAAGAAGGACAAGGAAAAGAAGAGGAACAAGAAGAAGAGGCAGAAGTAAAAGAGATAGAGAAAGAAGAAAAGGGAGGAGAAGAAAAAAAAAAGGTAAGATAGTAGTTATTGTAGAATTTTTAAGTAGCAATTATTTTGTAAGAGCCTAATTTAATTAATATTCAATTTTTATATTAGGTTTTAAGCAATGTTTAAGGAGGAAATTTTTAACAATTTAAGCATGTACGAGAAAAGAAATTGTGAGGTATGTAATATTACGAATAATCTAATGTACTTATTTTTACAAGTAGAAATTTGTGCGAATTGTCAAAAATAAGAAACTTGAGCTGGCGTACATGACATATACACGTAAAAGGGTACGAGGTGTCCGAATTGTGGAGATAGCTCATAACAAAGGTAAGATATACAACTTTTCTAATTCAGAAAGCAAGTACTTTGTTTCTTACATCTACAATAACACTTGAATCAGTTGAGTATGTTATTCATTAGCAATTTTACATATTGTGGAATAAAATCTTAAACTGATATATAGGTCTTGAACATAATTATATCTTCTATTCAATGATGCACGTTTAAACGAAAAACATGCAATCTATACAATATTTCTTTCATAAACATATCATATTACTTGTTAGTGTAAATCTATACATCATAAATGTTACGATAAAGTAAATGCACTGATCAAATTTTGCTAAGCATGAGAAAATATCATGCTAGGTGATGGGAAGACATTGATATATATTATGATATCTGCGGAGGCGGGGCAATGCGACTTTAATGGGTAATGCAACATAATGATATGTTTATGATACTTGTGCAGGTGGGCAATGCTTCAATGAGCAATGCGACCCAATGGGCAATGTGACCTTTAATGTAGTTCAATAGCAGGTATTGGGTTTCACCTGGGCTCTACTGAATGGTATAATGAAGTGTAAGAGCTATGTTTACGTTATGTGGCCTGTAACTAGACATCTAGACATGACACATTTTTAGACAAGAGATAATGTGAATTGTGAAAGATAGGATGAGTAAGTAAATGGAGCATCTAAGTGATGAAATCCAAGAGAATATCTAAATCAACTTGCGTGATATTGTGTTACTTGTATCACCATGATAGACATTCTATTATTTTGATTCAGATGTGTATATTCATGTAATAGAATTTATTTATAAACAGCTTATAAATGATAATGTTCGTAATATAAAGCAGGCATGGTTTATGATTATGTACAGTCATCTCACGTAAATGCTGGCTATTATTTTGTATGCCTAAATACTGCATTCGGGATGCTTATCCTCCTGAGCCTCATAGCTCGCTAGAATTTTATTTTAGTTGTTTTTGCAGGAAAGAGCAAAGATAAAGTTGAGGCTGAGTAGAATCACGTTTACTTTATATTTTATGTTTTATATTCTATAGTGTAAAAGAAGTGTAGATTTGAGGTTGGTAGGGCGTTTATCATATGCATGTTTTTGGGGTTATAGTTGTTATATATATATATATATATATATCAATTAAATTTTTTCTGCTTCAGCTTGAATAGATACGATGATATCTTCATAAATGCTTTAATGTAAGATAAATTATATAAATTCCTTTGCTGCATCCCACGTTGAACGGTAAGGAGAAGGTCAGCGTAGGCATGACACTGTCACTCCGCATTATACATGCCCAAAACACCTATTGTTTATTTTCTACCATCTTCAAAAAATGTGGCCCAACCATCTGGCTAAAAATATTACCTAGCAAACACTAACTAATTGAGATAATTAAATAAGGTACTCTCCCACCTATGACAACTCTAAAATTCAACTAAGGATGTTTGACTCCATGCAATTTAGATTAATAAATGATAATTAAGACCATTCTTTCCAGTTTCTGTTTAGACATCAAGATTTAGGTAATATAGGTACCATCCAATTTGGTAGCTATTCGCATTACCTCAAACTTTGCCTAATAATGCTATTAATTTACCCAGTATGAGAGATAAGATCATACCAAACATTTTTCATAATAATTAAAAAAAAAACACCAAGAAAAATAGAACAAACAGCCCCTTAAGAAAAAATTTCAGTCAAGTTAAACCTTGTAATTTGAGTTCAAGATCATCATTATTTGGTTTCCTAGATCAGAGAAACGTAAACAGATAATTGTTTATCTTATATCTCTTGGCATTTTTTAATATCATAAATAATTCTCATATCAGAAGCTTTAACTTTCCTGTTTTTATTAGCCTCCACTTGAATGAGGTCAAAATCAAGTTGCAAATCTAATTTATTTTATTAAGCAAAATAAACATTGCAATTTCAATTTAGGATGATCATTAAATGGTTGTCCAAATAAAAGAAACCTTAATTGATAATTGTTTATCTGATCTCTCCTGAGATGTTTGTATATTGTATGCAAGAAAAAAAGTCAAATGAGTCATACATAAGTCCATCACTAGTTAACTAATTGGATAAGTCATCATGTACATTGATTATGTTGCCAAAACATCTGCACCATGGGGCAAAGCATTGCATTCATAATCTTTCCACACATCCATCTTAATATTATGATTTATGCCAATCAATTTAGCTAGCATTGACTTCTATGTTAATCAACACTTGAATAAATGTAGCATTAGCTGGTCTGGTCTAATTATAGTTTAGTAATATTTACATACAAACTTCCATGGCACTTTCATTGCATAATGAATATGAATACTTAATTAATTTTAAACATCCAATTTTCACAATACAACTTATGTCCTCATCTTTGTTGCTTGATCCAGATATTATGACATACAGAAAACTTGATTACACGCTTTAAAAAATACTTGTAAATTAACTGGAGGTTTTCTTGCAATAGCATAAACATTCACATCCAATTAAATACAAAAATAACTCATCAGTACATGACTGGGTATTAAACTTAATAACCTGATTTCCACGAACTCCTTTATTGAGATTATGGAAGTTACGCTCCAATATCCACTTGTAATACCTAATTTAACATATAGATAAGAAGATGAAACAAACATTAAGAAAAAGTTAAGGAACACTCTGACTGCAACCTAACGAAAATCTCACTGTTTCTGAAGAGGAGACATTTCCACTCGAAGGATGCGCTCAATTTTGGGGGGCAAAGATTTCTCCACATCCTTTATAACTCTTCGTAGAATGTGTGGCCGCAATTCCTTGTGTAGATTAGCTAGCTAAAGGCAAATTCAAATCACTTCAGAAAAAAAAGAAAAATGCAGATAAAAATTTCAAATGTTTCTACAATAGAAATTTAATAGCAAATGCAACACTTAAAAGGAAATCAATTGTGATAAGGCATTTCGAAATCCAATCACTAATGGTTGAAATAAAGCAAATATGATAGTTACGATAAGAATGCCAACAAGGATAAATAAAATAGTAGATGCACAAATGCAAGACAAATGAGAATTTATGCAAGCTAAATATTGTACCTCAATTTCATTGAAAGAACTTAGATTTTTGTAATTTTCAACAAAATCATCTTTGCTGCTAAACTTTCCAGCATCAAGAAAATGTAGAAGAGCCCTGTCAGTCGTTAAAACAAGTTTGAATGAAATGCCTCAGTGCCGAAGATATATATTCTCTAAGTAGAATATTTCATGTATTAGCATATTTATTCTCTACGCTACACTATAGAATATGATTGATCATGACCATTTAGCAAACATCTAATCCAAGTTTCTTATTCAAACAATTTACCAAAAGAAAATAAACAATAATTCTAATAAAAAGTAATCAGCAACTCGGTCAATTAAAAGTTTAAAACATCTACATTAAATAGTATATTCCAGTCATCTATATATTTAGGCATCCTCTCCAGGGAAAATTATTAGGTCGGACATCAGACATAGAGATACGTCCGATGTCCAATAAAATATTTACATGTGGAATGTACACGTGTCCGCGGAATTTTAAGTCAAGCGCGCCAAAAGCGCAGATAAAGCACAAGTAAAGCGCAGGTAAAGTGCAGGTAACGCACAGTCAAAGCACAGTCAAAGCGCAGTCAAAGTGTAGTCCACGTGGCAAATTTTAATTGGATATCAGGACCTGTTTTTAGGTCCGGTGTCCGGATCTAATAATTTCCCCCTCTCCCGACACTATTTTCGGATGCAGAAGGAGCATGCCTATACATCCTAATCTCTGATGGTCCAAGATGATGGTCCAAGATGATGTTCCAAGAGTGTGATGGAGTGCATTCAACTACTAGCAAGATCAACATGCATTTCTCAAGTAAGCAAAGCAAAATCATCATCACATGGTACGTGCTCGAAGTCAAGAGCAAGCTCATCTGACACTATGAGGGCTCCCTCAACATCTGCCTTCAATAATACCAGAGATCAAGAGAGAATTTAACCATTCTATCAGCACAAGCTGTTGCAACTCAAGTTGATCAAGGAGTTGCCATCCATTAGCCATTACAACCGGAGATGCTTCGCCTACAATGTAGCAAGTTGCCATCCATTGGCCATTACTAGCAATGAGGTGTCAACGCCACCACCAACATATCACCCCATTTCATAATCATAGGTAGGCAGTTAAACCATCAAAAGAAGATTATTTTAGATAGATTTAGCAAATATCCATTAAGAAGATGTTTAATTTCACACTGATTACTAAATTTCCCAATATATTTAGATGCCTCGAAGAATCTTTGGGCTAGACTAAACCCGCCTCATTAGTTCCTGATTGCTGAAGTTTATAAATTATAATTAGTAAAACCCAAATCAACAAAGAAAATAGATAAAATCTATAGCATTTAGAAGCTTCTTCTGGAAATCATTTGGTATCTTATCAAAAAATAAGCAATCGGATATTCAGTGATAAATAAAAAAAACATTTATAAGAACAAAGTTGGAAAATTAAAAAAAACAAATTTAAAGCTTGCATCATTATACTAAACATGAACAAAATAATAGAACAGATTATTACATTCAAATTATCAGCATAGAATGGCAGAAGCAATGTTCCATTTAATGTTAAATGGTCAGAATTAAGAAAATATCTGTAGTTATCATGATTACCAACCATGATACTCTAATCCGTAAAACCCCAACTTACATTCCTTTTCTAACAGAATTTCCCCCGATTGGTAGACAATAATTGTACTTTAGCCGGTTGATAAAGAAGTGAATCAAGATATGGTAATAAAAGTGCAGATATAAAGGATATCCTAAGAAAGTTAAACTGCAAAATATAAGACGACTTGGCTACAATATCAAGAAGAAACGTGCAAACCTATGAAACAATTCAAATGAGCAAATGAAAGTAATTAGAAGTAAAGAGTGAAAACTACAGATATTTGTATCATCAAAGCAATAGTCGGGAAAGAAGTGGAAAAAAAAAAAATTGGACCAGAAACTATAACTTCCAGTATTGAAATACAAATTTAATAACTCCCAAAGTATCTGTAATATTTTCATTATATCATTAGAAATTCATAGAAGAGACTATGTACTAGCTTGCCAAAAGAAATGTAACTCAGTATCTTTAAATAACTAGTGCAAGCCCGGATAATCACATAAAACTAGTAGTAGATACAAATCTCAAATAAAGTACCTAATTCAGGCAGTGCCACATCGTGCCTCACCGTTGGCAAAAAGACCTAGTAACTAGAATGCATCCATGAATTGGTAAATTCCCTCTGACAAATACACCAAAATATTTTGATGCGGCAGTAGTCTAATTAGTCCGTCATGAATTTATGTATTCAGTATCAAGTGATAATTCTGATTATTCTCGAAGTTAATTCTTAGTTTAAATCTAGTCATTATTTAGGAATACTTGTCATTTTTATCCTGTTTAAGGGTACTTTTGTAATTTTCCAATAAGGCCCAGAGTTTCCGAAATTCAATTAGTTGAAGATGAAAATGAAATGGCAATTGCTTTTTCTTGGCTTCTTCCTCATATGATCCCCTTTCTCTAAACCTTAGGAATTCTTATTGATTTCTTGCTCTCTATCTTGCGTCTCCCTTCCTCTAAGTCATTCATCTCATCTATTTTTATCTTTATCTCAATTTTCCCTCTACACAGAAAGCTTCCCATTTCATTGCCTTGCTATTTATCATTTTAATCCAAGTAAAAATTCTTGAGCCAAGTAAACAACTATTGCACTCCACATCGGATCATCAGTTACTTGCTAGTGCAGCTACACATGCATCACTCCATTTGTTTGTTTTTATATTTGCATCTCTTAGGCTTGCATGCTACCAGCAGATAATGTGTACTCACCTTTGCTTGCACAGCTCACTTATCTACTAACTAAAATTGCTTATGATGTTGAATCCATGTGTCTTTGAGCCCAATCACATACTTGCATATTTGCATCTTTGCAAACTCACCTACTATTAAAACTAACCCAATCAAACCCAGATAGCCTAATTGAATCATAAAACCCAATAAAAAAGGATTCAAATTCAGTTCATCAATATTTTAGTCATGTGCTTCTGTCGTTGCAACCATGGGTCTATGAGCCCAATCACATACACAAATATTTGCATCTCTGAAAACTAGCCTACTATTCTAACCAGCCCAACCAAGCCCAAATAGCCTAACCCAACCATAAAACACAATGAAAAAAGAGTTCAAATTTAATTAATCAATATTCTAGTCATGTCAAATCAATATTGCCAATCGCATGAATATGCCAAAACTTTAAATGTCATTCAAGAGAGTTGATAATGCACTTGAGCATTTCTCATGAAAGTATTCTGTCAATATTTTTTTATGGAGTGATATTATTCCATTATTGTCTTACTACACAAGACGGATTTCACATTCATCTCTTCCTGAAGATGGATGTCGCTAGCTCAGAAGTACAAAAAACGACCTTCAGCTTTTTCTGTGATAGCATTTTAATTCTCTAGCATAGAGTTCTTTGCCGCCTAGATAAATTGATAAAGTGTAAGCCTTCCTTAGTCCAACCAATATTAATGTACTGATCCCCCTCTTATTATATTTCTCCATGAAACGGATGTCCCACTCATAACTCATTTTTTGAGATGGATTTCCTATTTGTCACTTATCACGTAGATGAATATTGTTAGCTCTGTAGTATAGTCATTGGCCTCTATTTCCTCTTCTAGCAATATTTCAACTGAGTAGAGTTCTTTGTTGCATTGGGGAATTAATGCAATGTAAGTTTAACTTAATACATCATAAGTTTATGTTTACTATATCATTTAATCGTAAGTACTTGTATTTAAATTAATTGTTAGTAATTTAACCATCAGTTGTTATTTAGGACTATTTGGTCATTTTCATATTTGTTTATGGGTTGTTTTTATTTTTTTATTTTTCATAAGGCATATTTTTATAAATATTGCCCAAAATCTATAATTTGATTAATGTAAGTTGATAATAAAAATAGCAATCGCATCTTCCTCAAGGCTGATCCCCCCTCTTTCTCATAATCTTAGAGTTCTTTCTTTCCTTCATCTTCAGCTTATGCTTCCCCTCTTCAGGGGCATCTTTATTCTAATGTTTCATCTCTTTTTCTCGTTATCTCTCTTGCTTCTCTCTCTAAACGGAATTCCCAATGCCTCGCTCTATGTCGCAAATCATGATTGAAATGACTAACAATTATAAATATATATAAGAGACTAATCACATGCTAATCACACTAACCAAGAAGCACTTAAAAAGGCCACAGCCCACATCTAGTGATAGAACCGGAATTAAGAACAAACCCCGCTAAATAGGAAAATAAAAAATTCTGTATTTCATCAATATTTCAAATAAAAATTTCAGATAAAGAAGCACACCATAGCTCCTCAACACTGTTTTGCAGAGGAGTGCCAGTAACAAGAAGCTTGTTCTTTGTACTAAATTCCTGTATCACCAAATAGATCAATTAAGACTATCTTTAAAATTTTAATCAAATAATATATATTTTCTATTGCTAGAAAGGGGTTGAAAAAGATTATAATAAACATACCGACAAAGTTGTGTATAATGATGCCTCGCTATTCTTCAGCCTATGAGCCTCATCAACCATAAGGTAGTTCCATCTGATCTTAGAAAGCACGGCTTTGTCTTTCAATAGAACTTCATATGTTGTCAACAACGTATTAAATTTAATGTGTCTGCTACTTCCATTGTTATTATTAAACTCATACTGCTGACAAACCTGCTCCCCGGAAAAAAAAAAAAACATATATATATTTCTTATCAAAATTATGTACAACTTTCATGCCTCACAATAATAAGCAAAGCAGAAAAAAATGAATCGCATACTTTATCTGGTGGAGAAGTAACTAGCCAAAAAGCTGATTATCTTTAAAAAAAAACAAATGCACAAGAAATATTGACCAAAACGATATCGAAACAAATAGACAAATTACAGAACATGATTACATAAACTTAAAATTTTAACAAAAATTCTATTATAAATATGACAAAATCTAGAAATTTTCCAATCATATTTAGAATCCTATGCTGATAAATTTTAAATATCGAATAAAGGTGGAATGGTCATCAGTTTCATTAGAAAAGCTCCTGTAATCGCAAAATTACCAACACAAATAAAACATTTCAAGTACTTACATGGTTGAACTATAAAACAAAAATTCTTATCATCCTCTATCTTTTTTAAAACTTTAGTCTGGAAGATCTGAAAACTTCAGAACTTGGAGCAATGAATATATATCCAAATTTGTAACTAGTGACTTAGGGATCATAGGAATTTGGATCAAGAAAGAGCTTTCAACTATGCAGGAGTACTACAGCTGGCGTGTTTTTGCCCTTAGTAAGCTCTTTTTGACTCGCACCAAAGGATAGGCGGATTGAGCATTGTGGAAAGGCAATAAAATCAACTCAGTAGGAACGCTAAGCCTTAATGACGCAAGTTTTCTCGTAGCACACTCAAATATTCAAGATCATTTGCCCAGAACAAGGCCAAAACAAGCCAACACCAGGAAGGATTATTGATTTACCACGACTCTGAATCAATTTCTAACTCCAGGATTTGAAAAGGACAAAAAGAAACAGAGAAAGCTTGCAGCTGTCAAGTTTAATCTGAGCAACAGGCTAACCCAATGCATACACCATGAATCGAAGTCAGTATTCTCCTACAAATACTAGGCTCAATGCACAAGTTCAACAAATAGAAATAGGGTTTTTTGTTAATCTTAACAACCAATTAAGCATCAAAAAGCAGCCAAACTGTCATAACCTGTGATCAAGAAATAACGATGGCTTTTCGAGTATCAACTAAGCCATTCAAGGAAATGAGCCATTATAAGTAGAAAGTGAGAGAATTCTCAAAATGGTCCCTAAGAATACACACTAATTTTCCGTTAGAATTATAAAGGAAGCCAACACTCCATCCACACCACAATGCAACTAGTAGCAAAATTTGGTATATGGTTATATGTCTATAGTCAAATATTGAAACCCACTTTGCACATACAAAAATAGATGGTAATAGATGCTTCAGTAGCAAGGTTACCTGAATAGGTTTCAAACAAACACGACTCACAAAAATTAAAACATCAAGCAAAATTTAAAAGAAGGGTGCAAAATTTTAAAGTGAGACATAAATTACCAACCTATAAAAAATTTTAAACAAGAGTTGATTAGGAATTGCAATGCAAGCAAGCATAAACAAATTAAATGATGCAATAAAAGAAAGACTAACCTCTCTGCTAGCACGATTTCCAACATATACAACTATATTCATTTCAGGGAGCCACTTCTTAAATTCCTTTGCCCAATTAGATAAAGTTGAAAGAGGAACAACAACAAGAAATGGACCATGAATTTGTTGAGCATACTGTAACAACACAAAACATAAAAAATTTGCATCAATCAAGCAAAAATAAATATGCAAATAAGAAAGGTAAGAAACATCAAAGCAGAAACTACGAGAAGCCAACCTGAAGAAACCCTAACATAGAAACTGATTGCACCGTTTTACCAAGACCCATTTCATCAGCTAAAATGACATTTGTATCATTTCTCCAACTGCACGAATATAAAAGGGGGCATTATGAAGATATGGGGAATATGCCTTAACAGCGCAAATTAAAACAAAAACAAGCCTGCCAAGGTTTGCTAGAAGTTCCACATTGGTCTGTTAGTTTTGAAAGGTTCATAAAAGACCAAAAAACAAAGGGCACTCTTTTTCAAGTAATTTATTATCCACTGTCATCTAAAGCTTGAAATGAAGGAACTTTCATTGTCTTTCTCATCAACAAAAATGTCTAAAGCTTTCCTAGTGTGTGGTATACGAGTTAAAAAACTTTTCACAACCAAAACCATCAAGGTTGGAGTCTCCCCCAATCCTCCCTCCCTCTATAGGGAAATGACTAAAAACCTACAACCACCTAATCAACAAGTATGGCAAAAGGCTGCAGACTCCCCTCTCCCTCTCTCAGAAAACACACACAACCATCTATGTACTGGTCAAGTGGTGAATGGAACTGAGCTACACAAGAGATTAAAAGCTTGTGTTATACAAGGAGAAACTTTTGACCTTTCCCATGAATTATGAAGAATAAATAATACAAGAGCAAAACCATTTGAAACTTTAGTGGTAGAGATGACTAACAGACCTATGTGTACAAGTGAAATATCAATAACAAGTCATTGACCTGATTATAATTTAGCATATAGCAAAGCATTTAATACCTATTGACCAGAAAGTTCAATCCCTCAAGCTGATAATCACGTAGTTTGCCTCCTTTCAACCAATCAGGTTGCTCATCAAGCCTCCGTAAACTAGCTGTAAATAAAAATTGATACCCAATTTATCCACTAATATCATGTAATAGTAAATAAATTGCAATATTAATAAAGTTTAAGTGCAATGATGGGGGACCGGGGAATTATGATCAAAACAATAAAAATTCAATAAGCTTTCATGTAAAAAACAGCAGAAAACAAGGACAACTATCAAACTGCCGCATCTTTAAAAAAAGGAGATAAGATTAATGCAATTTATCCTTTATCATACTCGGAGGAAACCAACACACAAATGAAAGGGTAAGCTAGTGGTTCCTGCTGGCATAATCAAGGCAACTGGCAGCCCTCCCAAACTGGCATTTCCTGAAGTTGGTTACCTTGACAGCTTAACTTTTGACTCTCAATGGAAGGCTAATAGATTGAGGCCACTTAGGTCTTTTTACCACCTTTGTAACTCTATTTTTATGGCCAATTTCAGCCTATCCAAACGTGAAGTATTCAATTACCTTGCATATTTTCTTCTCTTCTACATATCTTTTCTAACATGATATCAAAGTCAATTCTTGGCTAATCAATGGTCAATGGTTACAAGAGGACCCTAAAAAAGACAAGTGAAGATGGAGAGAAGATATCCATGGAGCAATCACCTCTTCAAATAACATCCTACAAAATGAGAAGAACTTCCAATGGTTTCATTCAATTGAACGGTAATTCAAGGAGGAGAAAAAAATTGCATACTTAAATAACATCATTAGACAATCCAAAGGGATGAGACTTCCTTTACCACATCGGATAGCAACAACACAATGGTGATATATTGGCTTATCAATTCTATGGAAGAACATAATGAATCCATGCACTTAGTCCAAACACAAACAAGAAATTCGAGAAAAGCTAACATGGCATATTTAGAACTTGAAAATTCCACTCACTTATGTGAATTAAGAGATCCTGTGATCTCAAACAATAAGACATGAGCATCATTGAAAACTCCATCACACTTACAAAAATTTGGCAAAAACTAGAAAATTTTTAGCCAAATGATTGGAGTGGGGAGTGTGCAAGTAATTACATCAAAATTGTGAGAAAAAAATAAGAACCTATGATTTCCTTGCGAGCCTTGATAAAGATCAAGAAGTTTGTGGGAGAATCATGAGATTCATCCACCACAAAAAATTGAAATATTTGATGAGGTTTGAACAAAAGAAAGCAGTGGAAAAATAATTTTTGAAAGTACCAAGAACTATCTTCAAACTAAAGGGTCCACTCTTGTCATCAAAGGTCTGGAGCAAAACCTATGAAATGACTTGAGGCATTGAAAACCAGAAAATCTTTAGTATAATTTTCGTAAAAAAGTTTAATCACAAAAGAGAAAATTGTTGGAAAGTTTACACCAAGCCAAAAAGTTGAATCAATCCTGGAATTCAACTCAAAGACATTCATGTTTATCAAACCAAAAGGAAGGGACTAAGGATGAAGTTAGATATCGCATACAAATTACTCATCCTTGAAAAAGTTTCTAACTCTTCTCTTGTAAGCTTACAAAGATAACTTTCCTCTGCCCTCACTTGCATTAAGGGTGGCCAGAAATCCTGAATCATCAACATAGTGCATCAGATCATATGTGAAGTTGTGTTCTTCAATTCTCATCATATACTCCCTTATCTTGAAACCTCAAAGTCAAAATTGTTGATGATCTGTATCTCTACTTGTTGTGATAAGAACCAATAAATTAACTTTGGTCTCTAATCTCTATCAAATTTTTGTTTTAAATGTACCAAATCTCACATGCAATCTAATTAGTAAAGCTAGATATCAAAAGATTAGCTGCAAAATCGTTTACTCGTCTAAATAATATTAATTTTAGGGCCAGAGGTCAGGGAAGAAGAATTGCAACACAAGCAAGGTTGGAGGACTATAATACTTTGATGAGAAATCAGAAGAGAGTAAGCATGCCCTTACTATCAATAGTGAATTCTCTCCTCTTACCAAAAAAAAAAATTCAAATTATGTTAAGACATCATGGGTTGGTTATCTTAGTTTTTTGTACCTTCAAAACTTGTTCCTTATTTCTTTGAAAATAAAGATGCCTTTTAATGTGAAATATGTCAAAGAGCTAATTTTTGTGTATGCGTAGTGACATTTGGAGCCATCCTAATCTCAAAATCTTTTACTCCAAATAGTGGTTCGCTACTTTTATTGATGATCATAAACGTATGTGCTGGCTATACTTGTTGAAAGATAAATAAGAAGTGCAACATCTTTTCAAAAACTTCCACAACATAGTTAAAACCTCTGATAATATCTAAATTCTACATTCTAATAGAGGCACCAAATATTTTAATCATATTCATGGAAGTTATCTAAATCAAAATGGCATTATTCATCAAGATTTTTGCCCCAACATAGCTCAACAAAATGGAATAGCTGAAACAAAAAATAAAGACATATCTTAGAGGTGGCAAGATCCATTATGTCCACTACTAAAATTCCTAAATTTTATTGTAATAAGTGCTATCATCATGGCATTTTATCTTACAAATCAAATACCCTCTAATGTGCTTCAATTCAAAATCTTAATCGATATTTTTTTTTTCACAAATGCTCGTACTATTTCAAATATAACTCTTAAGATCGTTGAGTGTGTACTGACTACTGCCTTTTATCTACAATCACCAACCTAATAGGAATAAATTTGTACCAATGCGTTCAAATATATATCTTCCTCGAATATAGGGAAAATCAAATAGGGTATAAATATTATTTTCTTGAAGAAAAAAGAAAATCGTTTGTGTCTATGTACATCAACTTCCTTGAAAATAACCTTAAAAAAAATCCTCAAAAGGAAGATAAAAGAATAATGAAATTTAAAAAAAATTTCCTCTAAAATACTCCAAATCATAAAGACCGCTAAATATCTTAATCTCCCAAGGCCCAACAATATTGAGATTATTGATTCTTATTTTTCAAAATCTAATCCAACCAACATACCCAACACTTGATCCCACAAGATTACTTTCAACTTTGTGCTTACACTTGAAGGAAGCAACTAAAAAGGAATTAAATTCTTCTACTGTTGAAGCTTATCATAAATAATACATGCACTCGAGAAATTCACTCTCTTCTCCCATATGATATTATTAAAGACTCGTTTATTGCTCTAACCAAAGATGCTGGTGCCTAAACTCAACATTCAATAGAAAATATGATGACATCTGATCATCCATACCATAATCCTCAAAAGAAAACTCTGGTTTCCAGCTTAGTTGAAATTGAAATCCCAAATACTATAGAAAAGGCTTCTTAATAAATCAAAATGGTAAAAAATTATGCAAGATAGTATGAAAATTCTTGGAAAAACAAAACAAAACATGGGAGGTCATTTAGAGACCAAAGGATGCAATCCCTATTGGATGTAAAGGGGTATTTATAGTCAAATATTAGTCAAATGGATCCACTGATAGATATAAAGTATGGCTATTTACAAAAAAGTTCACCCAAGCTTATGAGATTGAATACTTTGTGACATTCGCTCCTATCGCAAAACTTAGCATGATTCAAGTTCTCTAAATGGCAGTCAACTTTGATTTGCCGCTCCACCAAGTGGATGTCAAGAATGTATTCCTAAATAGTGACTTGGATGAAAAAGTTTACATGGATCTTCCTCCAAGGATCACCGACTCTAGGAAGACATAGCTAGCATGCAAATTAACAAAAAAAATTAAGATTTTATGAGTTCAAATCAAGCTCCTAGGTCATCTCAGATATTTGGAATGAAATTAGAAACAAATCAAGTATTACCATTTTTCAAAGAAAATTTATTCTAGATCACTTAAAAGAAACTAGTTTAGCTGGAAGAAAACTTATCAACACTCCAAGTGATTCTAACACATAATTAAGTGATATTAACACCGGTACTCCAGTTAATAATGAAGAAAACAAAGATTATATGAGAAACTCACTTATTTGTCTGACACCAAACTTGGCATTGCCTATATTGTTAACATAGTAAGAAACTTCACGCATGCACCTCATGAAGAACACATGAGTGTTGTCACAATAATACTCAAGTACTTAAAATAATCCAAAGAAGTTGATTATCCTTTAAGAAAGAGGAATCTAAGATAATAAAGTCCTATGAAAATATTGATTGGGTAGGCTTTATAGTTAACAAAGTCAGGCCACCGCACTTAAGTATGGAGTAATCTTGTTAGATGGCATGGAAAGGAATAATGTAGAAGCTGGACCTCATATCCTTGGCTAGTAAGATTAGAAATTAATCTTAGTTAAGCTACTCCTAAAAGAATTGCAGGTAACTGTCAAGACACATATGATATTAGTATCATGACTATAAGACTGCGATCAACATATTGCACAATCTTGTCCAACATAATCAAATTAAACAAGTGGAGAAATATAAGCACTTTAAGAAAAAAAAATTAAAAATAGAGTTATGTCCATTTTATCCTCTCTTCTGATCTAATTGTTAGCATTCTAAATAAAGGGTTGACAATACCTCTATTTGAAAAAATGATGGACAAGTTTAGTAGAGTGTTGAATGTTATTGCATCTTCGAAAAAAAAAGGAAAAGATCTATGCAAATTATCTTCTAAAGAAAAGGATCAAAATAGTCCATTGACTCCTTATGAAGGACCAAAATAGTCTTTAACTATATTGAAGTACTATCAAAATAATCTCCAACTATATTAAATAACTATTTTGATCCCTCAACTCCTTAAAAAGAAACCAAAATAGTCCCACCATAGGATTACTTTGATTCTTTTTTAAAGGACTTGAGGGACCAAAATGGTTCTTTAATATAGTTGTAGACCATTTTGATCCTTCATAAAGAGTCAAAGGATAATTTTAATCCTTTTATCTGTACTACACTGGAATCTTTCCTTAAATAATATTGAGTTCACAAAATAGCAAGATGTGTTAGCAGTTCCTGTTGACACAAACAAGGTAACTAACAGCTCTCCCAAATAGACATTTTCTTAAAGCTATTTCTCTTGATGGCTCACAATTTGACCTAAATAG